TTTTTTAGTTTGCATTAAAATCCTTAGGGACAATTCCAACACTTTTCAAAATAGGGTTTAATAATGAAAAGGTCAAACTGGTGCAAATAAAGTGTTTACAGAAAAAAGGGTGTTACAAAAAAATAAAGAGACAAAGCAACAGAGAATAAAAAAAATAGTTTAAAATAAAAGAATACTTGCAAAGTCCTTGATTTTAGCAGCATCCAATTGATCAAGCAGAAACATTACAGTGGCTCTCAAGTCCGGTTCACTGTTCCTTGGCTGATGTTAAACGAGCTATCAAATCTGCTTGCAATCTCTTTTTTATCTGACATCAAGGGGGTGTTGACAGAGACCATCTGACCAATCATTTGGTTGAAGGGGTGGGTGCTGGGAGGTCACCACGTTTACAACCAAGTCCAAAATAAAGTTTCTTATAAGTATGCATATTTATGAATACCTACCATTTAGTCTGCTACCATGCAGATTGTTGTCCAGCATGAAATTAGCTTCAAAATGGATATAGATGACAGGTCTTGGATATCTATATCTCATAGGAGGGGTGTAGAGGCCTACTCTAATACCTCCTAGCACAGACGCGTTTGAGTTTAAAATGCTACCCAATAACTGATGAATGTGAATATGACTTTATTCTGGCTATAATGTCATAATTTCAGAAGTTATGAAACATGCTGAAGTTTTAGAGTCTCGGCTGATAACCAGTCTATCAGAAATGGGTAATTCACAGACTTCCACTAAAGGTATTCATGGCCCAATGTCTGTCAGTTCGCCGGTTTGCTCAAGCTTGTAAGGGTGACAGTTCTGTCGGAGTTTCCAAACTGGAATGGTGGATTGGGCTAATAGACATGAGAGGGCCTGTATCTGTCCTGGTATAATAAGAAGGCTCTGGCATTAGTTAACAGTTGTGCATTGGAGATGAAGAGAAGGGAACCACTGCTGTTATTCACCAACTTGTTACAAGCTGTCATTGCTGAAGTCTGAACAACATGATGTCCTTGCCCTTTCACATGTTTGTGAGGGCTCAGAATGCATTACCATTACAGTAGGGGTGACAGTTCCTGGATATTTTGCACAACGGTCTCTGGAATTTTCCTTCGTGGCTCAGTCCACATCATTCCCAGGAATTTCACCTATACAGAAGGTCTTTGTCACTGTTGATAGCCCATCCTCTGTTCTCCATGTGCTGCATCAGCAGGTGCAGTACTTATTTTGGTCAAGAGATCATGATCTAGTGAAACACAGTGACTTTCACATTCAAGGTTCTTAAATCTTAGGCAATCAGTCCATGACAAATTGTTGTAGAATGAAGGTAGCCTTGAAGAAGGGCAGTGAAAGTGTACTGGCGGCCATCCCACCCAAAAGCAAACTGGTCCTGACACTCTAGGTTTATCAAAATTGAGAAAAAGGCATTAAAAAGGTCTATCACATGATATTCTCCTGCCTATTTAGCAATTTTCTCAATTATGGATATCATATCAGGTACAGCTGACTTCAATGGAGGTGCCAGTTTGTTTAGACTTTTGTATTCCAGTCATTCTATCTGCTTTCTTTACTGGGAACACCAGTGGCGAGAAAGGATTTACAGCAGGTGTAAGGACCCATACTCTCAGCAGTTCTTGGAATAGTCTTCCCAATTTCTTTGTGGCCTCTAGGAAGTCTGTACTGCTTGAGACAGACTGGCTTCTCTCGTGCAGAAAAATATAGACGGGTCCATTTCACATGAACTCTGACCGCAGCCTTCACTACCCTAACCAAATACATTTTTATCAGGATACCCAAAATGTGAATTAACCCCATTCAGTCTGAACTGACTGACCTTGAAGTACATTCATTCCAAGAATATTTTCTGGTAACGCAGATACAAAAACTCCCTCAAAAATCCTGGTCCCTTCTTAATAGCCAATTTCACCCATGTCTTAATTGCTGGTGTGTTTTGCCCTCCCAAACCTTCAACATGAATCACTTCTTCTTTGTGATGGGAAAGATTTTCTTGCAAAAGTGTAATTTCAGTTCCAGTATCCACTAAAGCCATCACATGTGTTGATGACTTCCCCCACTATACAATGACAGGTGCATATGGGTGTCAGTCTCCTACTATCACAGGTGACTACCTTGCCTTCATAAAGGATAAGGAACTTCTCAGTCCCCGAGTCTATAACTTTTCCCCATGGTAAAGGGATTTAGGTTATTGTGAAGTTTTGGGAATTGGTTTGGGGCTAACAGGAGGGGTCTATTCTAAATCTGGTCTGCTCTAAATCTAGGCTGATGTCATATTCACTAGGAGTAGTGTTTCTAACCCTGACAGTTTTCCCCACTTTTTCCACCTCTTCAGCAATTTTGCAGTAGAAATTCCACCTATAGGTACTCCAGCCTTTAATAGGTCCACCCACATTTGTTTCCTAGAGATAACTGGCCTAGATTTCTCTTTACCTCCTATCTTCTCTGCCACATTCCCTTCTCTGTTCTTTTCTGCTTGTTTTCTTACTGTCTGGCCTTGACCTTACTTACTGCCCTGACAGAGTTTGTTGCAGTCTCCTCTAACTTTCCCAACTGGATGGATGTTGTCACAGCATACTTCAGAGGTAAGAGAATTCCACTTACCCTGTTTTCCACAGAGTTGGAATTACACAGAAGTCTAAAATACCCTTCAGGGACTAGCTCCACTTTCAAGCTCTACTCCCTTGGAGTACTCAGATGGCATCTGGAAATGTTATCATATGCCACTGGGAAAAGCAAGCCAGAAACGAGCAGAGCCCCAGATCAAGATCTACTGCCGAAAACTACGCCCAAAGCCATCCTGGGACTTCTAACATACAGACTGCCACCAAGACACCCATGAACAAGCAAACTCTGCTCAGTGGTCCTTAACCTGGATTTCTTTTTATGAAGAAGGTTCCTAAGGACCACCATCATATTAGCAGGGATACTATAAAGCCAGCCATTCTCGCAAGAGTGGAGCACCCGTGCTGTACACTGATAAGAACAGATGCTACACTTGAGCTTAGCCAAAAGGCCAAGAAGCAATCCTAGTTTTTTATTTTCTGAGCTCTGTGGTGTGGTGTGGTGCTAAGTTAACCTTCTGTGAAGAAAAACATGAATCATGAAATCACAGCACAGAAAAAGTACAGAATGATATAAAACAGAACCTACTCAAGAAGACGAAAAGGGCCTCAATCCCTGAATCCCCAAGAGCGCAAAACTACTAAAAGGAATAAGGTATAATATGGTATGCATAGGTTGAAGCCAAATGAATCCAGCTCCTTAGGGACCTGCCAGCACTGGTGAAGGCTCTCCACTTGAAACGAGGAAAAAAGCCAGAAGGCAACAGCTCCTCTCCCAAACATCAGGGCAGGCCACAATACCTTGCACCCTCCGTATGTGCAATAAGAAGGAAAAAAAAAAATCAGTGCTAGTGCCTGTGGCAAATAGTGAAAAATAAATAAAAAGTGCCAAGTACTTTGAAGCAAAGGAGGCCTTTTGGCCAGAATAAAGATTTCCCCTTAACTAGCCAAAAGGCCTGCCCAAATAAAGCAATAGGTGACATGTCCAAGTGCCAGCTAAACTCTTTGTGCTCCCATACCAAAAGTGTTTTTCTGACACCCTTAAGACACCACTCCCAGGGGGCACAGCACCAGGAGCTCCTTAAGCTAACTAGCCCCTGATCAAACAAGAGATACAACTTCATCCCTACCAGAAAGGCATTAGTACTTAAGCAGAATACTGCCTACAACCAGGGACAAGCCTGGAAAACCAGACCAGACTCAACCCAGAAGGAAAATGATCCTTCCCACCATACCCACCTTATTACATGGGGAATTAGCCTTTTTATTTTTAAAGCTCCACAGTGCAGTGCTAGTTGAATCCCCTGTGAAAAAAGCGAACCCGTGAAATACCGCACACAAAAAAGTACACAGAGGGTACAGAAATGGCCAAACCTCCGAAGAGGAAGGGCATCTAACCCTGAACCCAAGGCTCTTGACAGGGGCAAGGTACTTCATGGTCTACCTATGCCCAAGCCATGTGGACCCCTACTCTACAGGGACCAGCCAAAGCAAGTCCACCAAGAAATTGGTGAGGAGGCTCTCCTGGACACAGACCCCCCTTGTTGTTGGGGGAGATAAAAGACATGAAGGCCAAAGAATATCTCCCTAACATAAAGGCAGGTCCAAATGACCTGCACCCTCCTTCTCTGCATAAGAAAGTATGAGAAAAATACAAAGTGCCCATAATAGCGAAGAATAAAAAAGAGCCATGTGGTGTACACACTGCAGGCCTTCCAGCTGGTATAGAAACTACCCAAGCTGCTCAAAAGACCCACTCTACAGGCATGAGAGTGCTGGGAAACCAGCCTGTTTGCTGTACAGTTGTCACGGTGCTGCCCATGCAATTAAAACACCAGCCATTTGCAGGCTGAGAGCACAAGCAACGGTGACACTACCAGCGTGCTGCGTATATAACTAGTTCAGGAAATCATTAAATCAACAAGTTTAGTCCCACTTGACCATCCAGAAAAGTGCTGCTAGATGTTATACAAAAAAACTGCTGGAATCCCGTTAAAAACGTTTCCTATGCTTTGTACTCTCGCACAAGCTGAGGCCTCCCGGTACAAACCATACAAGCCCTTCTCTTCCCCTCCACCTGACTAATACCACATCCCTCCGTCAGGCTCTGGAACTGCAGAAAGCGGGCAGCCGAGGAGGCGTGACCTAACAGTTTGATGGACAAGAGCCATTCGCAAGTGCGTCATATGTTTACCGGCGGAGATGTGTGACGTACAAGCTCATGTTCCCCCTAATCTCGGCTAGGGGGCGTGCCTGAGCAGACGATGGGTGGGGCTACGCAGGCCGTTTCACCGGCTACCTTGTTTGGCTAACACCTTGTGCTGGTTATCGTTGTGTAGGACGAAGAGCAGCGCGCAGGGTCCGCCCCTTCCCTCCACCTCCGCCGGTGCATGTGTCTGTGTCTACAGCGGGCCGGCCTTCTGTCTTCCTGCTGACAAGATGGCGGCGGAGTGCAGAGTACTGTCCTATACCGTGTACAAGTGGAGCTCGTTCTCCTCCAGTTACCTCCCCGAGTGAGTACATAGGAGGGGTCTCCCCGCACTCTACGTACGACGTCTTCTCCCGGATCAGGCGCTGCTGTGTGCTGGGACAGCGGTGTGCGGAGAGCAGGCCTGAGCCGGGATCCTAGGCATCCAGCGCTCTGTTTCAGGGGCACGTGATCCCGGTGTGCGCTCAGGACAAGTGTCCGCTCTGGGCAGTCACCTCCATTGTTTGCAGTATGGAGCTGGCTGGGCAAGGACATGGAGGGCAATGTGTGTGATCTATAGGAGATGTGAGATCGCTGGACTGTCTTCTCTACGGAGATTGCACTGATCAGCCCGGAGAGCTCCATGCAGATTTGCCCGGAGAGCTCCATGCAGATTTGCCCGGAGAGCTCCATGCAGATCACATGCATGTGACCGATCAGAGGGCAATCCACACAGGTGTCATGTTTGTGCTGCTTTGTCCCTACAGAGAGGCTGCCTACTTTGTTTTCCCTGTAGTGCCCAGTCATATTGGTACGATTTTTAAATTGAAATTTCATCTAGTGACTGTCAGCGTTTTAACGTGCGATTTGTTGCAGCGCGATTTCAAAAGTAGCTCCTGCTTTACTTTTTCTACAGTTTATTGCGATTTCACATGAATAGAATGGAAATCACAATGCAAATAGCAAGAAATCGATGAAAATCGTTACAAGTCACTATAAAGTCTTCAGAAATCTCTCTGAAATCACACAAATCACCTGATTTTTAATGGCAGTGGTGTGACTGGTGACTTGGTTACCGGTCAAACCGCTGCGATTTGTATGCAGTTTCAGTACAATTTCAGGTGCAATTTCTGAAGACTTTATTGCAACGTGAAGATTTTCAATGGTTTTTGCAATTTGTGGTGTGATTTCCATTATGTATGTGAAATCGCAACAAAACTGCAGAAAAAGTAATGCAAGAACTACTTGAGAAATCATGCTGCAGCAAATTACATGTTAAGACACTGACATTCATTAGATGTGATTTCAGTTGCGATTTCAATTTGCAAATCGCACTGGTTTGACTGGGCACTAAAAGTGGTATTCAACCCAAAAGCAAACTTTTATGGTATTGCAGCTTACCAATTCTTAGATGTGATGGCTGCATTAGTTTTACTTTCATTTGGTGATCCACCCAGTAAGTATGTTGTTTTTCAACAGAACAGGCGCTCCTGAGGATCTAGCAGTTAGGTTGAGACAAACCTTGTACCACTGTCGGGTGCTTAAAATGATCAGCTTTTATGTAAAACATTTATCCCAAAAGGACAAAAAAAAATGGTTTGCTATAACTGCTTAACCATTTCAATACCAGGCACTTTCACCCCCTTCCTGACCAGGCCAGTTTTCAGCACCGTCAACAAATGTGCTGTCATGCAGTACTATACCCAAATTATATTTTCATCATTCTTTTGAATCAGAGCTTCCTTTTGGTGGTATTTCATCACCTGGGTTTTTTTTTTTGCTAAACAAAGACTAAAAATATTGGAAAAAAATTTTTTTTCAAGTAATTTTTCTTCACTAATGTGTGCTGGTGAGGCTACGATGATGGCAACTGATGAGGCGGTACTGATATGCTGCACTGATAATCCTGTCACAGGAGAGCACTGAGAAAAGGAAAGGCTGATAACTGGTATTTGTTTACATGTGATTGGACACAGCTGATCACATGGTAAAGCACCATCATCATTGGCTCTTTACCCTGATCAGTGATGCGTTGTATTCAAGGTAGCTCTAGGCCAGCTTGCTAAGGAGGTACTAGGAGTGGGGAGAAGATGACAATGCCAGCAAAGGACTGCTAGAAGAGTAAAAGATGGTGCTTTCTGTGCAATAATGTTGCCCAGAGCAAGTATGATTTTTTTTTTTTTAAATTTAAAGTGTAACTGAAGGCAAAACTTTTTTTTTATTATTTTTAATAAAGCAAGGGAGGGTTATAACCACTAGCTTTTTTTTTTTTTTTTTTTGCCATTGAGAATTCCCTTCACTTCCTGTTTGGTAGTCAAAACAGGAAGTGAAAGGAAATCCCTCCAAAGTGAGGGAATCCTAGTGTCACCAGAGCTAGTGTCCCAATTGGAAGATTTCCCCTTTATTAGTTTTCCGATGTCAACCAAAATTTGGGATTTTCCTTTTGCTTTCAGTGATCACCGTAAATGTGACAAAGGGTGAATCTCCCTAACGGGGTTAGAGACCGCGATAAAAACATGTCAGGTGTTCGAATCCCTCTCCATTCTATTATAAAAAAAACTTTCGCGTTTAGTTACAATAAAAAAGAAAACATTGGATTTTAGGATCACTTTAATGGCATTGCCTTTGGCTTGCTAAAGGAATGCAATGTTTTGTGCACTGCAGGAGTGCATGCAGTTTTGCTTACAACTAAGGCAATATACTTGGCACATGTTCCGGAAAATGTCTGAAAAGAGAGTGGGTGTTGTAGCCACCACTGACTGGAGACCAGAAGGACGTAAGTGCAAGAACTATGTTACCAGCACACCAGGGAACTCCATAAAAGGGTCCAACGCTTTGTTGAATGCTCACATTCCAGCAGAAGATGGCAGTGTTTCAGAGCCACGCAGGACCCCTTCATTAGGCACGTGAAGGGCAGGCAGGCAGATGAAGATGTGATGTGTGGCTCAGAAATTTTGCCATCTTTTGCTGCGATGTGATCAATAAAGTGTTTGACCATTATATGGAGTTTTCTGGTGTGCTGGTGACATATTTCTTGCTCAGTTCTGCATGCGTTTTCACATTGCACAAATGTGAACCTAGCCTTTAGCTCTTTGTGGTTGCTATTGGGTTCATGTTACTAGGGGTCCCACTACCTTTTTCCATTCAGATTTTATTGGGAGAGTTTGGACCAGTTAGGGCAGAGAGCAGGTATTCTTAACCAGGGTTCCTTCACGGGTTTTAGGGGTTCCTTGAGCTGTAGCTGATTGAACTCCTATCTGCTGGTACCTGCATAGTTCAGGGGCCAGCAATCATTTGTAGAGCCAGCAGCATGACACCAGTTTTCTTTTGAGCTGTCTGTGAGGCTGACCAGCAATGAATTGCTTTTAGCAGGGCTTTCCCAACTTTTGAAAATTATTTCAAGGGTTTCTCTGGAGAAAAAGGTTCAGAGGCTGCTTTACAGGTACAATTGTTTAAAGCCCAGTTCCGAAAACCTAAAACTCATTCCTCACAGTGGGGCTGTCATTGCTCAGAGCAGGTAAGAATAACATGTTTGTTATTTTAACGAATAAGAACCTGATCGTTTAGTATCACTTTGAAGGAACCTCTGTAAATGATACAAATGATGCTTTGGTAAATTATCCACAGCTAAGCATTTGACTTGTATGTTTATTAATATTTTTTTTTCTATTATCTTGTGATGTGATAAATACAGTGGCAATAACTCTTGCGGCTTTGTAAATTTACCTTACAGTGGATATAAAAAGTCTACACAACCCTGTTTAAAATGTCAGGTTTCTGTGATGTAAAAAAATGAGACAGATAAATAATTTCAGAACTTTTTTCACCTTTTAATGTGACCTATAAACTGTACAACTCAATTGAAAAACAAACTGAAATCTTTTAGTGGGCTGAAGTAATCATAAAAAACTAATGTGGTTGCATAAATGTGCACACCCTCTTGTATCTGGGGATGTAGCTGTGTTCAAATTATGCAATCACATTCAAAATCATGTTAAATAGGAGTCAGTACACACCTGCCATCATATAAAGTGCCTCTGATTAACCCCAAATAAAGTTCAGCTGTTCTAGTTGGTCGTCCTGACATTTTCTTAGTCGCATCCTGCAGCAAAAGCCATGGTCTACAGAGAGCTTCCAAACCATCAGACCACCATTCCAAACTCATTGTTAAAAGTGATCAGTCAGGAGAAGGGTACAAAAGAATTTCCAAGGCATTAGATATACCATGGAACACAGTGAAGACAGTCATCAAATGGAGACAATATAGTGCAACAGTGACATTACCAAGAACTAGACGTCCCACCAAAATTAATGAAAAGATAAGATGAAAACTGGTCTGGGAGGCTGCCAAGATGCCTACAGCAACATTAAAGAAGCTGCAGGACTATCTGGCAAGTACTGGCTGTGTGGTACATGTGACAAAAATCTTCCGTATTCTTCAGATGTCTGGGCTATGGGGTAGAGTGGCAAGACGGAAGCCTTTTCGTACAAAGAAAAACATCCAAAGCTGGCTAAATTTTGCAAAAACACATCTGAAGTCTCCCAAAAGTATGTGGGAAAATGTGTTATGGTCTGATGAAACCAAGGTTGAACTTTTTGGCCATAATTCCAAAAGATATGTTTGATGCAAAAACAACACTGAATATCTCCAAAAGAACACCATACCCACAGTGAAGCATGGTGGTGGCAGTATCATGCTTTGGGGCTGTTTTTCTTCAGCTGGAACTGGGGCCTTAGTCAAGGTAGAGGGGATTATGAACAGTTCCAAATACCAGTCAATATTGGCACAAAACCTTCAGGCTTCTGCTGGAAAGCTGAACATAAAGAGGAACGTCATCTTTCAGCATGACAACAATCCAAAGCATACATCCAAATCAACAAAGTAATGGCTTCACCAAAAGAAGATTGAAGTTTTTTGGAATGGCCCAGGCCTAAATCTGATCGAAAATCTGTGAGGTGATCTGAAGAGGGCTGTGCACAGGAGATGCCCTCACGATCTGACAGATTTGGAGTGTTTTTGCAAGGAACAGTGGGCAAATATTGCCAAGTGAAGATGTGTCATGCTGATAGACTCATACCCAAAAAGACTTGAGTGCTGTAGTAAAATCAGAAGGTGCTTCAATTTATTAGTTTAAGGGTGTGTACACTTATGCAACTATATTATTTTAGTTTTTATTTTTACTTCCCTCCACCTAAAAGATTGTTTGTTGTTCTACTGAGTTGTACAGTTTATAGGTCACATTAAAGGTGGAAAAATTTCTGAAATTATTTATCTTTGTCATTTTTTTTTTACATCCCAGAAACCTGACATTTTAACAGGGGTGT